TGTGACCTGAGGGCCCTCAGGCAGCGCGGGGCCCGGGAGCCTCGAGGCGGCGGTGGGCCTGGGGGCGGCGGGCGGGCCCTGAGGCGGCTGAGCCCTGGAGGAGCCGTGCCTGCGGCCTGGAGGGCACCCGCGGGGGGCAGCGCCCCCTGGGGAGCCAGGCAGCTCCTGTGGGGCCTGGGGCGCGGGCTGAGGACCGCCCCGCTCGGCTCCGGGTCCTCCAGGCATCGGGCCGCTCTGCTGCTCCAGCGGCCCAGGGGCCCCTGAGTCGGGTTTGTTTGTGAGGAAGCCGCCTCCTCACCTGCCAGGCCGCCCTCCCGCAGAGGCCGATGGAGCCCAGGCCGCTCTGCCCCCTGCGGGCCGCTCAGGGCGCAGCTCCGGGCGTTCCCGGCCCAGGGCCTCGGTGTGGCCCGAACCCTCAGCCCAGGGCCTCGGTGTGGCCCGGACCCTCAGCCCAGGGCCTCGGTGTGAGCCCGGACTCTCAGCCCAGGGCCTCGGTGTGGGCCCGGACCCTCAGCCCAGGGCCTCGGTGTGGCCCGGACCCTCAGCCCAGGGCCTCGGTGTGGGCCTGGACCCTCCTCAGCCCAGGGCCTCGGTGTGGCCCGGACCCTCAGCCCAGGGCCTCGGTGTGGCCCGGACCCTCAGCCCAGGGCCTCGGTGTGGGACCGGATCCTCCTCAGCCCAAGGGTTCGGCTCACACACAAAGTCACCGACAGGGAGTAAAAGCCACGGACCCGACCACCTGCTGCAGGTCAGGCGTCCCCTGGACGTGTGCCCAGGAGGTCACTGCCCACTGGGCCCTTCAGCCTTCCTCGCGACAGGACGGACACCGGAAGTGACGCCAGGGGCGCCATGAGCTCCAGGTGTGTGGTACCAGGAGCGGCCTCGTGGGACCCAGAATGTGTCCCAAGCCCTCGGTCCCTCACGGAGCTGCTGCTGCTCATGGATCCATCAGCCATCAGGTCTCTGCAGATATGGGAGTCCCGCCGGAATTACCGTGTGTGCTCACGCAACTCCAGCACCATGGACGGTATTGCTCCTTTTCAATTATTTTTATATGAAGTTATATTTTATATGAAGACGTCCAGTACATTTGAGGAAATTGTACTTGAGTTAATCCATTCCTGTGTTGATAACATTCCACCATAGAATTTTATACATGAATTTTTCTTGATGACTACAGCATTCTAATTTGTTTTTTGAAACCATTTCTATTGATTTAAGAGAAGAAGGGTGAGGGAGAGATAGAAACATCAATGATGAGAGAGAATCATAGACCATCTGCCTCCGGCACACCCCACATTGGGGATTGAACCTGCAAACTGGGCATATGCGCTGACCAGGAATTGAACCCCCACTTCCTGGTTTGTTGGTTGACATTCTACCACTGAGTCATGCCCCTGGACTAATTTCTCTTTTTTGAAGTTACATTTGAACATAACGTCTCGTGTTCATAGTTTGCTTTTCAGGTTGATCTTTAGTGAGGAGCTCCAATAGGGAGTTCACAGTTGACATTATTTATTAAATAAAGAATATGCCCTGTCTATGGGCGCTGGCCTCTGTGAGGTCATGGTTTTCTGCAACCCATCTGCTCCTTCTCTGGAGGCTTGCAGCATTTAGTGTTTGCCCTTCAGCAGTGACACATGTATGTGACAATTGAAGCAGCCCCCGAAACCTACTCTTATCCCATGCCCCTCCATCTGGGTTCCTCTTCCAGCTCCTTTTCCTCAGTGTTTGATCTTTTCCATCTAGTGATTGCATTCTGGGCACAGATACTGGTTCCTGAGGTCTGCATTCGGCAGGTGTCCCTTTCAGAGTGCCCCTCCACAGGGCTCCATGCCCTGACCTGGCCCTGCTCCAGCCTCCTCCTCCTCCAGGGTCAGCATGTGATTCACAATGAGTGCTGTTGGATGTGCGGCATTGCAGACAGACATGGTGGTGCTCTTGTCTCCAAGAAGCTAGACTGCTGGCTGAGGCAGTCCACCTTGACTTAGCAGGTGAGAGGGTGTGCTTACAGGCAGGTCCCATTGCCCGGGCAGGTTGCTCTGTGCTGCTTCCACCAGTCCCTGCGGCCCTATAGCAGTACTGCTCACTCAGACGGGGTCTTAAAACGTGTGCCCTGTGGGGGTGTGTATCCGACCATGTGCATGTTGATGCGCTGATTTGAAAAGTACTGACTCTTCCAGCATAAACACTTCAGCTGGCTGGAATAAAGGGCCCCTGAGAGGAGCTCACTGCCACTATTGTCAGTTGTTTGTGATGACTTTTTACCTGTTTTCTCTTTCATATATAATATATAATTTTTATTGTTAAGATTATTACAGATATCCCTCTTATTTCCCCCATAGCTTCACTCCACCTGGGTCCCACCCCACTGCAGGCCCTTGCCACCTATTGTCTGGGTGGGAACTGGGTAAAGGAGTGTTATTGGGGATGGGGGGGAACAGGGGAACAATTGTAATAATCTGAAATACAAAGAAGCATACTTACTGCATACATGCATATAAGATCTTTGTCTAATCTCTTCCCCCATCACCCCACATCCCATTCCCTCTGAGAATCATCTGTCTGTTTCATTTCTATGCCCCTGATTCTGTTCCATTCACCAGTTTATTCTGTTCATCAGATTTTTTAATTCATTTTTAGATTCACTTGTTGATAGATATGTTTCTGTTGTCACTATATTGTTCATAATTTTCTATCTTAACCTTTTTCTTCTTCCTCTTCTTAAAAAATACCATTCAGCATTTCATATATGTAATACTAGTTTGGTAGTGATGAACTTCCTTAGCTTTTACTTATCTGTGAAGCTCTTGATCTGACCTTCAATTCTGCATGATAGCTTTGCTGGGTAGAGTAATCTTGGTTATAGATTCTTGCTATTCATCACTCTGAATATTTCTTGCCAGTCCCTGTGGCCTGCATAGTTTCTGTTGAGAAATCAGCTGACAGTCCTATGAGTACTCCCTTGTAGGTAACTAACTGTTTCTCTTGCTGCTTTTAAGATTCTCTCTTTGGGAAAAACTAAGATGGTAGCATAGGTAAATACCTAAACTGCTGCCTCACACAACAATATCAAAACTACAACTAAAAGATGAAATGGACACCATCCAGAACCATAGAAAAGCTAGCTGAGTGGAAATTCTACAACTAAAAGAAAAGAGGAAAGCACATTGATTCTGAGGAGCTGCAAAAGGCTGAGGTATGGAGATGCGCACACGGAGGGACGGGCGACTATGTGCACGGGCAGCTGAGTGCCTGGCTGGCTTTCTAATGTGGGAGGGAGACAAGGGCTCACAACTGTGCTGAACTCCAGTTCCGGACGAGTTTCTGGGAACCCCGTCTCATTCAGGGAGAAACTGGACTGGCTGGCAGCAGGCAAAACTCAAGGGTGGCTTTCTCTCAGAGGTGCTTGCAGTGATTACTGAGGGACACTGAGACCCAGGGGCCTCATAGGGCCGGGCTGACGGGAAGGCCATCTGCTCCGCCCTGAAACTCCACCCCATCCAAGCTGAGCACACAGGCTTTTGCAATTTTGCAAGTCTTGTCTCATGAGAGTGTCTCCAGCACAGAAGTTCTTCCAGCGAAGACACAGCTGATCCTCACAGCCATTTGGCTTGGAGGTCAGTTCCTCCCAGTGATACCAACAACAATCAAGACTTAATTACAAAAAGTCTGAGCACACAGTCCACAAAGGGGTGCACCCAGAGTGTCCACCTCAGGTAACTGGGGAGGCTGAGTCACTGTGCCCTGTAGAACACCTAGCACACAAAGCTACTCTACCAGCTCAGGAAAGCAGCGAAAATGCGGAGACAAAGAAACACATCACAAATGAAAGAAATGGAGGAAAGTAAACGACTGGATATAAAGTTCAAAATCATGGTCATAAGGATTTTCAAGAATTTCCTAGAAAATGCTGATAATATTAGTGAGACCCTTGAGGTTATGAAAAAGACCAACTAGAAATTGAACATATACTGACTAAAATAAAAAATAATATACAGACATAAAACAGCGGACTAGAGGATCGCAAGAATCAAGTTAAAGATTTGAAATACAAAGAAGCAAAAAACACCCAACCGGAAAAGCAACAATAAAAAAGAATCCAAAAATATGAAGATAGTGTAAGGAGCCTCTGGGACAACTTCAAGCGTACCAACCTGCATATTCTGAGGGTTCCAGAAGAAGAGAGAGAGCAAGATATGGAAAACCTATTTGAAGAAATAATGACTGAAAACTTCCCCCACTTGATGAAAGAAATAATCTTACAAGTCCAGGAAGTGCACAGAAGCCCAAACAAGGAATCCAAAGAGGACCACACCAGGACACATCATAATCAAAATGCCAAGAGCAAAACACAAAGAATATTAAAAGCAGCAAGAGAAAAACAGTTAATTACCTACAAGGGAGCACCCATATAATTGTCAGCTGATTTCTCAACATAAACTATGCAGGCCAGATGGGAGTGGCAAGAAATATTCAAAGTGATGAATAGCAAGAACCTACAACCAAGATCACCTTACCCAGCAAAGCTATCGTTTAGAATTGAAGGTCAGATCGAGAGGCTTCACAGATAAGAAAAAGCTAAAGGAGTTCATCACCACCAAACCTATACTATGTGAAATGCTGAAAGGTATTCTTTAATCAAAGGAAGAGGAAGAAATAGGTAAAGATAAAAATTATGAACAACAAATACATGTCTATCAACAAGTGAATCTAAAATCAAGTGAATAGAGTGGCCGAGGAGGCGGCGCGGCGGCCGGCGGCCTGGGAAGAGCGCCCGCGCTGGGCCCGCGGGACCGCGCCGCCACTACCCGGGCTGGCCCCGAGGGACGTCCTTGTTGCCGCTGCCACCGCCACCGCCGCCGCCGCCGCCGCCGCCACCGCTGCTGGGACCGAGGTTATGAATGTGCTTTTTGATGAAACTGGATTGGAAACAGTTTCATGGTCTTTGTATATTTATATATATGTATTTTAAAATTTTGCATTTGACTTAAAGTGCCATGAGAAAATTTGCATATTGCAAGGTGGTCCTAGCCACCCCCTTGATTTGGGTACTTTTGGATATGTTCCTGCTGCTTTACTTCAGTGAATGCAACAATTGTGATGAAAAAAAGGAGAGAGGACTTCCTGCTGGGGATGTTTTAGAGCCAGTACAAAAGCCTCATGAAGGTCTGGGAGAAATGGGGAAAACCAGTCGTCATTCCGAAAGAGGATCAAGAAAAGATGAGAGAGATGTTTAAAATCAATCAGTTCAACTTAGTGGCAAGCGAGATGATTGCACTCAACAGATCTTTACCAGCTGTTAGGCTAGGAGGGTGTAAAACAAAGGTGTATCCAGATAATCTTCCTACAACACGTGTGGTGACTGTTTTCCACAATGAGGCCTGGAGCACAGTTCTGCGATAGTGTCATAAGTCCATAGTGTCATAAATCGCTAACCAAGACACATGCTAGAAGAAATTGTTCTAGTAGATGATGCCAGTGAAAGAGACTTTTTGAAAAGACCTCTGGAGAGTTACGTGAAAAAAATTTAAAGTACCAGTTCATGTAATTCGAATGGAACAACGTTCTGGATATATTAGAGCCAGGTTAAAAGGAGCCGCTGTGTCCAAAGGCCAAGTGATCACGTTCTTAGATGCTCACTGTGAGTGCACAGTGGGGTGGCTGGAGCCTCTCTCAGCCAGCATCAAACAGGACAGGAAAACGGTGGTCTGTCCCATCATCGACGTGATCAGTGATGATACTTTTGAGTACATGGCCGGTTCTGATATGACCTATGGGGGATTCAACTGGAAGCTCAGTTTTGGCTGGTACCCTGTTCCCCAGAGAGAAATGGACAGAAGGAAAGGTGACCGGACTCTTCCTGTCAAAATGCCTACCATGACTGGAGGCCAGTTTTCAGTAGACAGAGATTACTTCCAGGAGATTGGAACATACGATGCTGGAATGGATATCTGAGGAGGAGGAAACCTAGAAATTTCCTTTAGGATTTGGCAATGGGGAGGCACCCTGGAGATCGTTACTTGCTCACATGTTGGACATGTGTTTCGGAAAGCGACACCTTACACGTTTCCAGAAGGCACTAGACAGATTATCAATAAAAACAACAGACGCCTCGCAGAAGTATGGATGGATGAATTCAAGAATTTCTTCGATATAATTTCTCCAGGTGTTACGAAGGTAGATTATGGAGACATAACATCAAGACTTGGTCTAAGACACAAACTCCAGTGCAAACCTTTCTCTTGGTACCTAGAGAATATTTATCCTGATTCACAGATTCCACGTCACTATTTCTCTTTGGGAGAGATACACAATGTGGAAACAAATCTTGATAACATGGCTAGAAAAGAGAATGAAAAAGTTGGAATCTTTAACTGTCATGGTATGGGAGGTAATCAGGTTTTCTCTTACACTGCCAACAGAGAAATTAGGACGGATGACCTTTGCTTGGATGTCTCCAAAGTCAATGGCCCAGTCACAAAGCTCAAATGCCATCAGCTAAAAGGCAAGCAACTTTGGGAGTATGATCCCCTGAAACTGAGCCTGCAGCATGTGAACAGCAACCAGTGCCTGGACAAAGCCGTGGAGGAGGACAGCCAGATGCCCAGCATCAGAGACTGCAGCGGAGCCCGGTCCCAGCAGTGGATTCTCCGCAACATCACCCTTCCGGAAATATTCTGAGACTAAATTCACACACGGAAACAATAAGGATTGACTGGGCTACCTCAGCACACATTTCTGCCACATTCTTAAGTAGCAAAAAGGGGACAGTGCTCCCTCCTGCAGGTGAGGATTCTCAGCCAGTAAGACTAGACTCACTCCTCACACGCCGTGAACCAGCCTCCTGCCACGTAGCGAGACTGTGCACACTGATGTTTACAAGGTCGAAGAGGCTTTCGTCAAGAGTCATCGTAAAGACTATTCCGACAGTGAAATAGTCAACAACATGTGCTTCCGGAAAGCTGCACCTCTGAGGGTCTGCTCGCACAGCAGTGATTTCCGTTGGAAATGCTGTCACGATGAAGAATTCTCAAGATAGAACTGGTAGCCAGTATATTAAATATACATATATTTACATATTTTTTTTTTAATATATATTTTATTGATTTTGTACAGAGAGGAAGGGGGAGAGGTAGAGAGTTAGAAACATCAATGAGAGAGAGTCACCGATCAGCTGCCTCTTGCACACCCCCTACTGGAGATATGCCCGCAACCAAGGTACATGCCCTTGACCGAAATTGAACCTGGGACCCTTCAGTCCCCAAGCCAATGCTCTATCCATTGAGCCAAACCGGTCTCGGCCAGTATATTAAAGATTGACATAAAAATATATGAAAAGAACTGGAACCAGGTTCAGAATCATGAAAACAACATTTTTACAAAAAAAAAACACAACTATATTAAACAGGGTTTAAAGGAAATTAAAACAGAACTATGAGAAGTACATTTGTTATAGAATAGAATCAAATTTCTATATAGATTTTATACCTCGGTGGGGAAAAACAACTGATTCCAGTGACGTTCATTTTGTTTTCATCTGTGATAGTCATTGTAAAGACTATTCCGACAGTGAAATAGTCAACAACATTTTATTTCTCCTTGGGGTGCTGAAATTGAGCTGGGGAAAAAGGCTCTTTGAAAGTAGTTTTAATTGCTTTCTGCAATTTTTAAAATATGGCTTGTGGGCTGTTGGAATTGTAATTTTTAATTGCCTTCCAAAAATGGAGATTTAAAATAATATCTGGTCTCACTCAACAGTTAGATATCTCAGTTGCTCTCGGGTCAGCTGGCTCACCGACTTTCTCACATGCACACACAGATTTCTTACCAGGTGTTCAACTTAACTGGATTCAACTGATGATGCTTAATACCCAAGATTCATCTACTGTGCTACAGGTTTGTTTTCACAGCAATACATCTTCAGTTTTTGGTTTATAATTCCACTCTAAAAAATAAAAATAGAAAAAATAAAATCAAAATAAAAATCAAGTGAATAAAAAAATCTGATGAACAGAATAAATTGGTGAATATAAAAGAATCAGGGGCATAGAAAGGGTGAACTGACAATTCTTCGGGGGTGTGGGAAGAGACTGGACAAAAAATGTACACCTATGAATGAGGACAGTTGTGGGGAGGTAAAGGGAGAGGATGGGGTGGGAACTGGGTAGAGGGGAGCTCTGGGGGGAGAAGGGGAGACAATTGTAATAATCTGAACAATAAGTATTTATTGAATTAAAAAAGATTCTCTCTTTGTCTTTTGCCCTTGGCATTTTAATTATGATGTGTCTTGGTGTGGCCCTCTTTGGGTTTCTCTTGCTTGGGACCCTGTGCTTCCTGGACTTGTAAGTCAGATTCTTTCACTAAGTAGGGGAAGTGTTCTGTCATTATTTCTGCAAATATATTTTCAATATCTTGCTCTCTCTCTTCTTCTGGTTCCCTCATAATTCGGATAGTGGTATGCTTGAGGTTTCCCAGACAGTCCTTACACTATCTTTATATTTTTGGATTCTTTTTTCTTTTTGTTTTTCTGGTTGGTGTTTTTTGCTTTCTCATTTTCAGAACTTTGATTTCATTCTTGGGATCCTCTAGTCTACTGTTGAGTCTCCACATATTATTCTTTATTTTAGTCCATGTATACATAATTTCCGACTGATCCTTTTCCTTTTTTTTTTTTTTTTTTTTTTTTTTTTTTTTTTTTTTGCAGTCTCACTAAGTTCTTTGAAAGTCACAATAGTTTCTCAGAGGTTTCTAGAAGATTTTTGAATAACCTTATAACTGTGGTTTTGACCTCTATATGCACTATTTTGCTTTCTTCAATTTCTTTCATTTGTGACATGTTTCTTTGTCTCTGCATTTTGGTTGCTATCCTGTGTTTGTTTCTATGTATTGGGTAGCTGCTAAATCTCTTTGAATTGATAGAGTGCCCTTGGTTGGTAGGTTTCCTATAGGGCCTAGTGACTCAGCCTCCCCAATCACCTGGGATGGGACACTCTTGGTGTACTCCTTTGTGAGCTATGTGCACAGTATTGTTGTAGTTAAGCCTTGATTGCTGTTGGTATCAATGGGAGGAACTACCTTCCAGGCCAATTGGCTGTGCGGACTAGCTGGGTCTACAGTGGAAGAGCTGCTGTGCAGGAGACATCCTTATGGGGCAGGACTTACTTCGGTGGGGCGTTGGTGCTCACTGAGTCTGCCCCTTGAGGATGTCACTTATGCATGTAAAGGGTTGTAATCTGGTCTAGTCTCACACTGACCACTGGGTACACTGACTCTTGGATCTCCAAGGAGGTGCCAAGTCAGCCACTGCCTCAAGCCACCCAGCAGAAACTACAGAGATATCTGCAGATTCCTCCTCTTTGTTTGGGCTTTGGAGGTGCCAAGATGAGGCCCAGCTGTGAAGCAAGGCAGGCTGGTGCTGGTGCCAGCCTTGGGATTTTTATTGATAGCTCTGCAGTTTCCTGTTCCAGCTGCAGCTTGGTAGACAAGTTTTAGGCTGAACAAGGACAGGCCATTTATATATAATAGCCTTTGCTCACAGCTTGGTTGGGGTTGTAAATTGGGTGAGGAGAGGTCTAAGGGAATATTCAGGGTAGAGCAAACAGAAATGGCTGCCAGTCAGCCCTGCACCAGGGAGGTTCCAGCACAGGAATAATGACCACTACTTGCATCTCCATCTGGAAGAAAGCCGCCCCCGCATTCCTGCCCCGATGCCAGACAGTCCAGTTTCTCCCCGTCTTTGTCTGGGTCCCCAGAGCCTTGTGAGGCACTGGACTCGGCACAAGCGGGAGCTTGTCAATTCAGTTGTGGTGCTGGCCTTTTAAGAGGAGCAGCTGGGTCTCCAGCCCCAATCCACACTGGATTTTACAGAACTAGTTCTTATGGCCCGGCCATAAGACTTCTTTCCCCAGCTATGGGCAAAGAGAAAAATATATTTTATTGATTTTTTATAGAGAGGAAGAGAGAGGGAGAGTTAGAAACTTCGATTAGAGAGAATAATCGATCAGCTGCCTCTTGCACACATACTGGGGATGTGCCAGCAACCAAGGTACATGCCCTTGACCTGAATCGAACCTGGGACCTTTCAGTCCACAGGCCGATACTCTATCCACTGAGCCAAACTAGTTTCGGCTAAAGATATATTTTTAAATAAATAAAGTATTTTCCAAATATACAGCATTACTCTGGACATTTTTCTTAGAAAATACATATTGGTTAGTGGTCTGTCAAATTGTTTTTT